CTTGGAATTTTCGGTCCCAATAGAATGCTGCAACATTATACTTCACTTTGAAGAGAACTATGATAACGAAGACACATTGATCGATGACTTTCATGCAAAGGGAGCTATTCGTTATCTGGCCGATCACGTGAATAAAGATTTGTGATTGACTTTGGGTGAAACGTGTAAGTTTGTGTAGCTAAGCCAATTCACTGTACCATGCACACCCTCAATTTGTCAAATCCCTATTACTACATTCAGATTATGAAGCTAAATTGATGCAAGCAAGGCTTAATAAGAGTGATGGCATGAGAGGAAATATGCTGCAGAGCTGATTAATAAAGACTCGGCAGCATACTTAGTGCTGGATTATCTAGCTCATGTCACTAACAAAATCAAAACACCACCCCCTCCCCACCCCAATGAAACATTTTTAGCTAATCAGACAAGATGGAAAGTAGAACCTATAGGAACTAAATTATAGTTGAGCGCAACCCACCGTGTTCAGCAGCTAACGGATTTATTCTGCTTTGGGGTGCTGTCTTCTTTCTTATAATTTTTCGACGTTCTTCAGATACACCGCACATATCCATATATTCTTCATCACTAGCTAAATATTAGAAATATGCAGTTTTACTTAGAATATACACAAAAGTAGCTAAAGATCTAATAATAAAAAACAACTCACTAATACTCGAAAACTCACAAGCGGAATGAGGTTTTCGTGTTATCAAATCATGAACGGTGTTCAAGTCAAAATCTATCTAAACACAGAGAAGTTGAGCGTTCACGGAAATGCTTCCTTCGCATTTTCTACATAAGGGTGTTCTTAAGATTGGAGAAAGAGAAAGCATTGAGAAGGTATCATCAGCCTAATCCCTAATCTCGACAGGATGGTTGACAGGGCAATATGTCATCTTCGAATAATAAGATCCATGACCAAAAACTAACCAACCCAATCCAAATTCAAGGACTCACTTTTGTAATAATATCCTGAAAATTGGAATCATGACAAACAGGCTGATTTTGATCGAGCTGCATGTTGCACCGGGGACATCTCAGATTGCCAGCCGCTATTCGTGGACTCATGCAACTCTCACAAAACCTATGCATACATACCTGAAAATAAAATAGAAAAGCTTGAAAAACACAAAAGTGTACTTCGAAAAAAAAACGATACAACACTAAAGAAACGAAAAATCAAATCGATTACAACATGATACAAACCGTGGTCGCAACGGGAATGTTACAAATCCGCTGACATAGAATGCACGCGAAGTCTCTCACTAAACACCGCTTATCCATGGTTGCTAGGAAGTCATCTGAAGCTTTCCGTTTCCCTGTTCGTTGTGTATCATGGGTGGGAGAAGTGCCCTGAGCAATCCTCGATTAGACATGGTGTAGAACGTTGACATAGAAATCATAAGAAACCTCCAAAAAAGCAAGCATTACCTTTTCAGCACATATCATGCTAGAACCAAGCTAACACCCGAACCCGAATTTGAACCTAAAAATCTGCATTACAAAGTGAGATCGAAAAAAATAGAAATAAAGAGGCAAATACACAACTCATCGTGTATTTTCAGAAACCAATCGTACTTATCAGAAGCTTAGACATAAACAGCTAAGTTTGAAAGAGGTTATCAATTGAAAAAACAACCAAAAATTAACAATTCATCAGCTCAAAACGAACGTAGGGGGACGTCGCAAACTTTTCACGCACTTTTTTTTCGATTTTCCATGTTACTATATCACTGACCGTGTGGTAAAAAACTTTCTCTGTAGACGCGAACGAGACACTGCATTAGACGCGCTGCACGATTTTCTGCGCAAAGAGCCAGCCTGTCGTTGCCTTTCGTGTTTGTTTGAGTTGTTGTTTGGGTTATCAACTGTGATTGCATCTCAGAGATCACACCCAGAGGGTTTTTTTTTGCAGGCCATGGGTAAGATTTCGAAAGACCAGCGAGATATTTATTATCGAATGGCCAAAGAGCAGGGATGGAGAGCGAGAAGTGCTTTTAAATTGTTGCAGATTAATGATGAATTCCACATTCTGGACGGTAAGTTGTAACTTCAATCAAATATCTAATTCGATATTGCCTCCACATATCTTCAACCGTCCCGTCCTCTTCAACCTAGGTAATCCGTTTATTGCCAAGTTTTCCCATTTTTCAAATCGGATCCAGGTTGATATTTCCGCCTATACCTGATCAGTGAGATTGAGAATACCTGGTCTGCTCATGTCAGGGTGGGCATACTTCCATGGGTGAGGGCGCACCATAGTCGTTCGTCCGACCGTAACGACGCACGCTATTGGACCTTCGGTGACTCCCAGCATGAAAACCAGAGCACCATTGGTTTTTACTCCACTCATCTGAAACTCTACCACAGTCTTAAAACTGGAACCACGGTGCGCTGTGTTTATTCCTTTTTCAAAATGCGAGTGATACGGCCAGAAATATTTTACGTTCGCTTGGTATAGAAGGTTTAAAAAGTAATCAAGCGCTCTGATGGTAGCGAAATTGAAAGTAGCATAACATTTATGGTGTTGTTTACTATTGCCCAATATGGATTTCAAAGGGGAATTTAATGATGATCAAAGGAAAGGAATGTCTGAAGCTACATACTAGAAAAGTCAAGCCATTCTTTGTAGGTGTCACCAAAGCTGTCGATTTATGTGCTGCCCCGGGCAGTTGGAGCCAGGTGCGTGGCATTCTCTTTCAACAAGATTGAAGTCTTTTGAAAAACTTGTTTTTTGGGACATAACTTATCGTTCTCGAAATTATCTTTGTGTCTTAACAGTATACATAGTTTTATTCTAAGAAGATTTTTACAAATTCAATGTTTCCCTTGACCGTATTTTTTTGAGAAAATTGACAATCAAATTTGGTTTAACTACTAACTTGACCGTCTAGAGCTTGATATCCGATCTAACTATTCCATACCCAATTCCTCTCTATTTTTGAATGTATGCAAAGTATAGGCACAGAAACCAGTGAACCAATAACCTTGAACCTCATTACAAGCTTTAAGGTGCTGTCGAAGCGACTCTTTGAAAATGGAAAAGACAGGGATGATGTCAAAATCGTTGCCGTCGATCTCCAGCCGATGTCACCGATCGCCGGCGTCACACAAATTCAAGGTGACATTACCGACGTGAGTGAAGTTTGTTAAAAGCTTCGAGTCGGAATACATACGCAATAGTGTTTAATATCTAGAACTACACAGCTAAGCGAATTATCGATGTTTTCGGAACCTTGGCCGATCTCGTAGTTTGCGACGGAGCCCCTGACGGTACATTACCTTTGAACATAGTTTTAACTTCTATTAAAGTAACTCTTTTAAGTTACTGGATTGCATTCACTGGACGAGTATATGCAAGCGCAGCTTGTGTTGTCAGCTTTAAATATCACCACACATGTACTCAAACTTGGCGGTTCGTTTGTAGCAAAGGTGCGTATTTCCGTTTTTTGTTTCTCAAGACTATTTTTTGCCTGAATTTTGTGATAATGTATTTGCGTAAGTAACATTGAAAGGAATGCAATAATGGTGTTACAGTAATAGAGAATTTTCAAATTACACCATTTTGCATGTTCAGTCTTGCGCCAAGGGTTTTTTTATAATGTTACGGCAATAGTTACACTTCAATACTGTTACCCACTGGCAATACCCACAATACTGTTTGTAGTCCCGGTCAAGGTATAGCTTACTGTCGTTGTCTAAGTCGACTCCTAGTCCCTAATGGTTGCCT